CTTAAATTTTTAATACATTTTTTGTATTCTGAACCAAATGATGGCGTATCATAATTGTCTCTTTTTAGTCCGAACAAATCTATTTGGCTTAATTACTTTCTGCACTTCGCCCCGGTCTCTAGCCAAATCCGATAAATTCTAATTTAGCACTTTCTGTCAAGCCATTTTCACTCATCTTCGCGTTTTTTACGATCTAAACTCTAGCAAATGATCATTAGCCGAAAGCCAAGCTTGTCAACCGAAGATAAGAACTTCTTAAATCACTTTCCGGATTTTTCATTATGTGCTTGAGCGGCCAATAATTCCTTCAGGCAATTGACTTCTTGCGGTTAATTTCCTTTTCAACTCTTTCACGATTACTTCGCCTTACCAGACGGCGGCTTACATACATTTAACTTCCAATACACATTGAATAAAACAAGTATTTTTTTTTGGCATAATAACGTTTTTTTTTACAAGTATTGTAAGCAGAGGACGCCGAGCCTTCAATTTTCTTAACACTTTGTTCTAGCTTTCAATTATATAATGTTGAGCAAATTGTAACTTTTGACTCACTCTGGTAAATTTGTTTTAATTTTGTCCTTTTCAATATTTTTCTTAAATCTGATTGACAAAAACGTTTTTTCAGAAGTTTGTGTAGTTTTTATGCATATAGAAATTTCTATGGCTTTCTAACAGACAATGAAAATATTGTAACTATTTTTTTGCATATTGAAGTAAATGTTTATAAATGTTTCAAACTGCATACATCCCGTTTGGACGTTTTCTACAATATATTTTTGTTTTATTAGTTTATTTGATCTAAAGAAAAATTATTAAATACGTATGAGCAATAAGCCGAAAACAATAAAAACCAAAAAAATATATTTTACGTCGTTCTTTAGTAATCAATTTCACATTTAAAATTGAACTGGTTTGTTCAAAGCGATGAAAATAGTTTAAAGATTTTTCACTGTGCATTTTATACCAAAGTAACATTTATATTTGATCAATGTTCCATTCCAGCAGTCCTTTTCAGCTTAGTATTCTATTTGAACAACCCTTTTGAAAGGGTTGAGGCCACTAGTTTGACCATCTATATTCTAATAAGGGGTGGCGTCATCAACCATCTCTAAGAGGAAGCCGAGGTGCTTTTCGCTCGACCAAATATTCATGGGTCGGATTTAAATCCTTTGACGCAGCCCTCCGCAATCCGGCTATTACTGTTTTAACTTACCAATGATATTTTAGACCGTTTATTCTTGTTTAGACTAGTTTTGAGTCTGAATGTATCAACAGATCCATTTAAACATGGATAAAGTGAAAAAAAAACAATATTTATGCTGATGTCGCTTTATCTGAGATAAAAATAAACTCATATTAGCTCCGGTTCAACAAAAAATATATTCACAATTTTTATTACACTTGCCAGGATAGATAATGTTAATACAAAGAGAGACTAAACGGACTTCCTCAGGCCTCAATAGTATAAGTGGAGAATGATGACAAATGTTTAAAAACTTCAAAAGTTCGTTGAAATTTCTGGCTCGAAATACTTTTAAAATGCCTTCTTTTATTATTTGTAGTATCATCAGACATTGAATAGTCTTTAGGTTAAAAATTATTTATTTAATATTATGCTCAAATGAGCAGGACAATGCAAAAAGATTTTAAAAATTTGTTTGATTAATCAAAAGTTAGCAGAATAGAGAGGTCTCGTGATGAAAACGCCATCAGAAAAGGCATGCTTCAAGAAAGGCTACTCCACAATAGACGTACAAATATATCTTCCTCCAGCATAAAGAAAAAAATCAGAGTATAGCCTGCAATACGGCTTTTGTGGAGTACAATAAAGCGTCGTTCGAAAATAAAACGTAATGAATGTTGACTATCCAAAGAAAACAGTGCATCAAGATAGAAGAAAAAATCTACAACTAATCGAAGGAACCATTTATTTAAAACAGTTTGTGAGTTTCAAGAATAGAACAAGAAAAAAAAACAGAAAATAGAATAGTCAAATCTTGGTAACAGTAGTAACAGAAATTGTAAAAATAAAACTGTACAAATAGGAAAATCTTGCCTATGCATCCCAGACATAGCCAGAGGAGGAAATTCCTCAGGCTTGAGATGACTAAAGAGCCATGGAGAAGATCCATCTTTGGGAAAAAGAAAAACGACAAAATCTAATCACAACGATATGACATGCGTTCCCGATTTACTCATCGTCAACAAGACAAGAGGATCTTTAACGTCCGCACCTGTCCTATTCGGCCTTATCGGACGCTTTGATTCTCAAGATGAGAGCTGACGCACTTCTGCATACGACGGAAAAGTGTTACCGCCGCAGCATTGGTGTAGTGGTGTCCCGGCCCCTAAGGGTCAGTAGCCACGCTCTCCGCTTGTCCACTCCGAATGGTCGGGCCCGCATTATGCGTCGGGTCGTACGCCGCACGCGAGGGGCTAACGGGCCGAAATACATCAGCCCGTCCCCCCCCCCTCGCGTACTCCCTAGATAGAGAAGGCGACTCTATCTCTCTGAGTGTAGAGGCTCCTCCAGCGTAGAAACTTTCGGGAACGCCCCGACAGCGGTTTCGGATTAAAAAGTGGGATTGCTACCCACCCCCTAGATGAGCACTGTCTACGGACAAAGGTCTCTTATCGAGCTCAGCCTACACCTGCTGCACGTAATCGAGGGACGCCATAGGTCTAGCCTAGGTGGTCCGATCCTTCGCTTCCCCAGGGTACCACGCCGGTCATACGCACAACAATGCAAAGCATACTCGTCAGAAACGCCGATATCACTACCCTTTTCCAATCGCTTACTCACGCATTCGAGGGACTGTAGCATGATCATGACGTCCTCAACGATGACATGCTGTCGTCCGGTCGCAACGTCTCCCGTGAGGACCAGGTTTAATACATTGGCCATGCGCAAGCTTCACGAAAGGTCCCAGGTAGAAGACAGCCTCTGTCTAAGTTCCCGCCAGGGGCGTCACCACAAGCCACCACGAATCCGTTCCCAATGTGACAGAGGGCCGGATTCTGGAACATTTCTGTCACCCCGTGGTACAGATGGCCATACAACCCTCCCCCGTCTTTGCAGACAGGATCTGGTGCACTGGCCCTCGTGTGACTCTGCTAAGGCACCCGACGTCCCTGCCGACCCTGAGGCCGACATAAGACGTCTTGTGCTTTAGAGAGGTTGCCACGCCCTCAAGGCTTCACCATTATTTTGTGCCTGGATACCCCCCTTGTAACCAAGGGTTAGGAGGGGTCACAGGATAGAATGAAGGAATTCGGATTGAGAAACAGGGCCGCGGAAGAGAACACGAGGTGAGCCGTTTCGGGGTCTCGAGTCTCAACCGCACTATACCACCCGTCGTCGCCGTGGTTCCACATAGAGTGGGCCATGACTCCCAGGGTGGGTACACAACGATATGAGAGCAGACAGAAGTGCAAGACATAAGAACTAGAGGTGTGTTGCTTCTTGTGGTGTGTAGATCTTGAGAATCTAAACGTGTGATACGGCCAAGTGCCAGGAGCACATGCTAAAGAACCTCATTGGCCCACTGTTGACATTGCGACCCCCAATGGGAAGTATTATACGAAACCGCAATCCATGGTAGGTTCTTGCATTTCCTTCCACTTCCTTCAACGCGCACCGAATTGGTTATTAAGCGAGGAAGATTTCTAACTTCACAGACGTACTTAAAAGAAATAATCGAAGAACATGAACTGCCTTGCCATTTGCCCCCACATTGGTGAGAGATTCTTGCAGATGCAGAATAAGGCCAGGTCCCATAAGTCATGTATTGTGAATGACTACCTGTGAGGTTCGAATTGAGTGCTTGGTGGTGGCCAGCTTGAAATCCAGATTTCAACCAATCGAACACATTTGGGACTAACTTAAGCGACGAGTACGACAGTGAAACCCAGGCTCTAACACCCTAGAAGAGTTGGAGTACTGGATGATGGTCAAAATTCCTCGGGATTTTATCAGAAATCTTTTCCAAAAAATGAGAAAGGCCTTTAACGGACGTGATTTATACCGGAGGTGGAAATACTCGGTATTAAAGCGTACAAAAAAAATTGTTTGTTCTTTACTCAAAAAATTTTTTTAGAATTAAGTAATAAACATTGTATTTTAAAGATGTCTTATTTGTACAACCAAACATATTTTTGGCATGTAAAATAAGAATAAATCTAAATGATTACAATTTAAGGGTGGTGGGTTAATTTTTTTCCGACAGCAATTTTCAACACTATTTCATCATTCAATTTACAGTTAAAATTGCAACATGATCTTAATTTTGTCAGTTGTTTTTCATACAAAAGAATATTTAGGATATTCATTATTTTTGTACCTATTATAAAACTAATAAATAATATTTTATTTATTTATCAAAAAGTTATTCCTAGGCTTACAGAATGTCATCGGCTCTTTCATTCTTGTGGAATTCAAGTGATAGTTGATCCAAAATTTATTTTATGATACTCGTTGTTTTAAAAACTTCCAAAAACTCATTCAGCGAGCATAATAGATAAAAAAATGTGTACTGCATTGTATAGATTTTAAAAATTAGGCATGTTTTAAATTTGTTTAATGTATTTTTCTTGTTGATTATAGATTAGTAAATAATAACCGTTTTATCAATTCTTCTACGCGTTTTTATTTATCTTTCTCTGGAATACGTAGAGCCGAAAATTTGTGTATCTTTCTTGATGATAGGCAAAATTATGAAGCCAGAGCTGATTGTTTGCATAAAAATTCTCCAGCCAAACCATTCTCACAAATTTTCTTTGAACAATTTGGCATTATTCCAGTAATCAACTACATCTGTAAAATGTGCATCACTACAACCCTACAGTGCGAACATAACTACATGAACATTCCTCTAAAAGACCATGATTGTGACGTGATAAGTTAAACAGAAAAAAAGATGAAAAATGGTGTAACATAAAAGTTCTTTTAATTTAAAAAAAAATATATATAATGTGTGATGTGGGAAAAATGAACTCACCGTTGCTTTCTTCTCCCTTAGCGCCAGTGCCGTTCCGACACAGTGGAAACCACCACACTGCAACAGAAAACACAGGTTGAGAGGCGTGTCCGAGATCCATCCTAAGACTTTTGAACAGTTATAAACGGCCTAGAGGGGTCTAACTTTGATTTATTTGTCTCATTTGGCTCCAAGCCAAAGCATGACCTTCTCAACCAATCTGTTCTTGGTTTTCGATTTTCCCACAATCTTCACTCAGAACTCTGAAAGTAGCAAACAGCGGGGGGAAGGAGGAAAGCAGCTAATAAATTAAAAGTTACGAAAATAGAAAAATGATAAAAAGAAAAAATATGAGCACATAATCGTGAGATGATTCTCTAGACAAAGAAGTGTAATTTCAATGTTGTTTATACTCCCTAAACAACCGGACTACGAGAAAACATATATATCCAATCTTAATTTTTATGTAAAGCCGGTTGAGAAGAAAAATTGGAAATAATAATTAATAATCCATTTATGTTTATTGGTATAATTGACCAAAGTACTTATTTCAATTAATTATTCCTTTTAAGTAAGGTATTGGTTAAGTTGAAAAAGTTAGTGTCACGAGCGGGATTCGAACCCACGACCTTCGACTTTATAGCTCAAGTGGTTAGAGCAGCAGCGTATTGAGCCGAAGGTCGTGGGTTTGAATCCAGCTCGTGACACAACTTTTTCATCTCAACCAAGACCTTACATAAAAAGAATAATTAATTGAATTAAATAATTAATAATAGCTAATAAAAACCGATAACTAATTAAATGAAACTTCTTAAATGAAAAATTGAAATAAAATATAATAAATATTCATCTGTTTTTAAATATTGTTACATACAGAGTCTTACCTAACAAGTTTACACAAGAACATGAACAGGTTAGTTTTATATTCAGGTTAGTATTATTTCCGTGTTATTAAAAACTAAAGATAAAACGTGTAAAATTAATTTTTTAACCTTTTTTATTCGTAATTTTAGTGAGGTAAATAATTCTAACTTTAGTGTTGTCTATACTTTCTTAACAAACAGACTACATGAATAAGCAGATAACCAGTCAAAACTTCTAATATGAGAAATTGATATTATATCAATCATTTTATCGAAGTAAAATATAATAAATCATAATAATAATAGTTTGTTTTTAATTATTTTTAAGTACAGAGGTTTATCTAGCAAGTTTGCACATAAACATAAACTTTCAGAATTCGGACCCCGACACACTTAGAAATGGGCTTTTTTTCGAAAACCCCCCGAGGGTTGATATGACCTCTGTTGCTGAGGGATACCACTGTAAAAAAATCTTTTTAAAAATATCAGCTCAAAATTATCTCTCTGTTAGTTGAAAACTACAGAAAAAACCTATCAGATTGTTTGTAACCTTTTTAGACTGCATTTTAGTAGTCATTGAAGAATCAGAGCATCAAAATACTAAATTTGACTCAAATATTATTCTCTAATTAAAACTTTAAATTTTTAATTATTGTCTTGAGATTGAGCAAAACCGAACTCTTCGAATCCTGAAGAGAATAAAATCTATTTGTTTCCTTTTTGCTAATAGCAATCGTATAAATGAATAATAATGAAAATAACACCCAACGTTGTTTTCTCTAAACCAGCATTTAACCGGGTTTGTGACAATATTCATGTTTTTCACAAAAGTCACCCAGTCAAATTCTGAAAATCTTTGTCTTTAGTTTGACGAACATTTAACATCACAAGAATCTCTTCTTCTGACAGTTAACAGAGACGACTTCACTCAAGACTAACATCATAAATAAAACAACCTCTCTTGTCAAATATCTTGTGTTCATAATGAAAAATATTCGGAATATTACTTTACTAAATAAATAGCAGGCAAAGTCAAGTTGTCAAAGGGAGTCATCAATCTTAAATCCATTATTCAATATTGCTCAACTTTCCCCCGAACATATTCTCAAGCGGTAAAATGGTAAAAAGATTTTCAAATAAAAATTCTTTAACGTTCCCAGACTTGATATTTCAACGCTATTTACCATTATGGAGTCTGTGAAAAAATTTCTCTACACCCCTTTCACTCACTCTCCCTGTATCGCACCCTCTTACTCTCTCACCCCACCAACCATAACCCCTGGGCGGTCTTAAGGGGCTTTTTCATTAAAAGTTTTCCCTGAAGGATGGGGAAGCAGGCGAACTGCCAATATCTCTAATGAAATGGCAAGGCATTGTATCTACTACATTGGCGATAACAATTACGTTTAAGTGGCATCTTCCTTGAAAAACCATCCTTATATATGCCGTCTGCACGTTTTTATTCATCTTACTTCTATTTTCTAATTGTTCTTTACTCCAAGAGATATCACTAGTAATCTGACTGTGCGCTAGCAGGTGTATAAATATTAATTTTCAAATATTTTCTTTGGTGATTGATCAGCCTTCTCAGTTTAAATATACTTTCCAAAAGGTAGATTGGGGATGAGGCCAGGAAGACAGAAACAACATTTATTTTCTTGTCGAGCTTTCGGCAGAATATATTGCCTTCATCAGGATTCTGTATTAACAAATTAACATAAGTAAATTTACAATTATACAATTTTTAAATTTTCCTTGATTACTAACTCGAAAAAAATCGTTATATTATATGAACAGGTTCATGTGTGGATAACGGATAGCCGGTAGAGCCCACCTTCGATAAACGAAGGTAATAAATATTCCTAACCTAAAATTTTTCTTTATCCATAACAGAAACATTGTTAAAATCAAACGTGTGGTTATATTTTTGACTGTGTTGGGAAAGCGCAGTCCCTTGCTTATTTACATCTCTAACGTCGTNTATATATATATATATATATACTTGTCAAACCATCTATCTTTATGTCTGCCTCTTCTCTTTTTCTCTCTTTTTTGAGAGAAAGAGAGAGAGAGAGAAAACGCAAAAGTGTGGAGTTACAAACGAGAATAATACATAGAAAAGCCTACAAAAATTGACCTTTTTCTTGTCTTTCTCCAATTGACTTTTAAATTTGAGATGACGAGCGTTCGAACTATGAAATCTTTTTAAATACTACTTGGACATTTATTTATTAACCTACTTTAAACCAGAATTGTAATATTGTAAACTTCAAATAACGGCTTTTCAGCCGCTCTTTCGATAAGTGAAATTAGTAATTTTAAAAAAGAAAAAAAACAATTATTTCTAAGTAGAAACCATTGTAACAATCTATCGAATTATATGGTAGCTTTATAAATACTAAAATAAATAAGTAAGTTTAGTAAATAGGCTAAGAAAGTAATTTACTCTGATTTTTATGTGTATATTTAAAGAGGAAAGGAGACTCAATATTTACAAAGTATGCTATTAAGTTTTGTTCTTTCATTCTTCAAGGTATTCGTTTTCTTTATTTTAATTGTTATTTGCCATCAACTTGACGGTGTTAATTATTCCAAAACAGCAAGATTGAATGCAATCCGATGAAAGTGTTTCGTAAGAACAATCAACAGTTCGTTATTCAAGTGTTCATTTTGTGAGTTTTTTGTTTACTTTTAAATATGAAGCTTATGATTTAAACGGATGCTAAGTCCGTATCAAATCATACACGCTGATTACCTATATTAAATCGTTTTTTATCAAAAGCGTTATAAAACTGGATTAGCCAGTCTTTGGAATTTTTCAATTTCCCCTTCATTGGGTACGAAAAGGGAAAATGAATGGGCCAGATCACCTATCCAATAAACAAAAAAAATTTCTTGAAAACAAAAATATTGGAGATCAAACCAAGATTATATGGAACCAAACATTTACAGATAATTCTGATATTTTCAATCCTAGTATTGTTAATATTAAAGTATTATTGTTCTACTTTTATCACTCGACGGACATCGTGTATTTCTGCGTTAGAGTAAATTCAAAATAATCCGTTTATACCAAAGGAATAAATCAAAACATCTAATAAATGAAAACATTATAAAAAGCAAATAATTTACACTTATTGTATTCATTAACTCTTATTAATTTTCAATTCAAGGTATATTTTTTATTCCTGTAACAGTTTTCTGTTTGCTTTTTAAATTTAGGTCAACAGCCAAAATTATTTTTTAAATGCGCCTTTTTCAAAGATATCAAACATGATACATAATACATACTGTTTCTTAATTTAAGCAAATTATCTGTAAGACACCTTCTTCTTTAAACCAGGCAAACTATCTGTGAGACTCGTTATTTACTAAACCATCTACGAAACATATCTATATTTAACCTAGGTACGCTTTATGTTCACGTCCTGCTCAAAACTAGCCAAACAATCTGAGAGACTTTCCAATCCAGTCATACCATTTGTGAGATATTATTTTATTTAAACTTACTACTACACACACATACTATCTGCGAGTCGATCTCTACGCAAAACTAGCCAAACTATCTATGAGATTTGTTCTTCTTTAAACAAGACAAATCATCTGAGATATAAGTTCTTGGAATGAAGTAAATAAACTTGGAGACACCTCTTTTAGAATACCATGTATGGGGCATATCTGTACTAGGTACACCTTCTGGTACTAGGTACAGCCGAGAACTAGCCTGGCCATCGAGACACGTCCCTTTTTAAACCAGTTAAACCAACTGATAGAGAATCCTTTTGTGGCCAAGGCACTCCACCTGTGAAGTGTGTCCTACCTAAAACTAGCCAACAATCGTTGATACTCATTCCGACTGAATTATCTCTTAGACCTCCCTAAACAAGACAAACTATCTTTGCGATATTTTATTTCAATTATAAACACCATCTGCCCCGCGTCTTCCACTCTAAACTAGCCAAACAATCGACGAGACATGTTCCTCCCAAAACTGGCAAATTACCTATGACACTTTATTGTTTAAATTAACCAAATATTCTGTGAGACACGATCCATTCCTAAACAGGCAATCCATTCGTGAGACACGTCTTCTGGTAAACCATAAATCTGGTATATATTAAACTGTTAATAATTTTTATGTAAAGTGTGGCTGAGATAAAAAATTAATGTCTCAGGCGGGGCTCGAACCCACGTTATTATATTTTTAAAATACAT